TCGAAGTGCTCCAAGCACTCAAAGATGCTGGGTTGGACTCACTGCCCGGTGCTGGTGCTGAGATTTTGGATGATCGGGTACGAAGACTCATATCTAAAGGCAAATGTGGTGGTCAAGAATGGCTAGATGTAATGCGAGCAGCACACCAATTGGACATTACTACATCGGCAACCATGATGTTTGGTCATATTGAGACTAATATGGAACGCATGGAGCATTTTGTTGCCCTACGTCAAGTACAAAGTGAAAAACCTTCTCACGCAAAAGGGTTTTTAGCTTTTATTCCATGGCCTTTTATGGATGAAGACACGATTCTCAAAAAGATAAAACGTGCACGTAATCAATGTACGGGTGACGAATACATCAGAATGATAGCTATGAGCAGAATCATGTTACCGAACGTCATAAACATTCAGGCTTCGTGGCTTACTGTGGGTAAAAAGACAGCCCAACTTTGTCTTCATGCAGGTGCCAATGATTTTGGTAGCATCATGATAGAAGAAAATGTAGTTTCTGCCGCAGGTGCTGCGTTTAGATTTACAGCTGATGGTATTCAGAATGCTATCCGAGAAGTAGGTTATATTCCACAACTTAGAAATCAGCAATATGAATACAGGGATGTGCCTTCAAACATAAAACAACAACAATTAGATAGAGAAAAAATGTTGGTGGATTAAGTCAATTACATTGCTCTTAATTGCTATAAAATTACAAAAGGCTCTGATCAACTCAGAGCCTTTTCACTTTTTCATAGTTTAAACCAATTAACCAATAATATCTAACAAACTACTATCTAAAAGAAATTAAATTGCGAATAAATATTGCATTCAAATTTGCTTTATGTATAAATCTTAGCCAACCATTACATAATTTTGAAGCGTATTGAGATCTCTAATTAGAATCTTGCTACTTTTTCTAGATCCATAATGTATGAAATTTTCTTTTTTCAACTCATTCAGAATCCTTGCCACTGTTTGTCTACTTGTATCTGTGAGATATGCAATTTCCCTATGAGACATACCATGATCAATCAGACATTCATTGATACCAATTTTAACACCTTTGCGAGTTCCTGTACGGAAGATGAAATCTACTATTCTTTCTTTTGCTTTTCTGAAGACAAAATTCTGTAACCTTTCTTCCAGATTCTGAAGTTTTGTAACGATGATATTCATTATGGAAGTTGCAAAAACATTATTTTCTACTATCAAAGATTGGAAAACACCCACAGGAATCTTGTAAAACTTAACTTCTGTCATGGCTTCTGCATACTCCTTCGTAACGAGTTCTGAAGTAAAGATATTTTCTCCAAAAACTTCATTATCATACACAAGTTCCTTGGTCAATGTCTTGCCACATGATGCAACCATTCCCAATTTCACACTACCCTTTTCTACCAAATATACATAATCCATCGGTGACCCGATGTTGTATATTACAGCATTTTTAGCAACCTTGCCGAAAATTGCTTCAGCTGCTAATGTTTCCAATTGTGCTGGCGTCAATGTTTTTAAGATTCGCATCTCCCTGAGCGCAATAACCTTAAGTGAATTATTCATCATATCTTGATATTTGATAGTAATATGCATGAAGAAGAAAATACCCCTAGTGATTTTGACATAATTATTAAAATTTTGTTAAAAAATAAATTCGAACAATATCCTGAACCCTATTTTACTTGCAAAAAAGTATAAAATCCCTTTAGATGACCACAATCATAAATTGACTTTGACCAAAAATTTGGGTAGAATAAATTCTTTGCTATCTTTGCAAATTAAAATTAGTCTAAATAATAACATGACCATTCAGCGTACATTATTAAGCCTTTTACCTGGAGAATCCGCATTTATAGATAAACTAGATGTAGGCATTAGTACCTGTAAACTGCTCAATCTCGGTGTATTGCCAAAAACAAAAGTTACCATGGTCAGAAAGGCTCCATTCGGTGGTGCTTATTATATTAAACTTGACGGTCATCAACTAGCAGTTCGCACAGAAGAAGCTGCAACGATTATTCTGGAAAATCAAATATGAAGATATCAAAACTTAATATTGCCCTTTTGGGAAATCCTAATTCAGGCAAATCTTCACTTTTTAATCATTTGACAGGGTTAAGGCAACATGTATCCAATTTCCCTGGTGTCACTGTAGATAAAAAATCAGGCACTATCTTTTTAGAAAATGGTGTAGAAGCTAATATCATTGATTTTCCTGGCACATATAGTGTGTATCCAAATTCTTCAGAAGAAAAAATTGTCATTAATATCCTCACAGACAAAACCAATGACAATTATCCAGATTTAGTCGTTTATGTAGCAGACGCAACCCAACTAGAACGACATCTATTATTTGCTACTCAGATCATTGACCTAGGTTTGCCTATGATTTTTGTGCTTAATATGATCGACCTTATCTCTGAGCAAGGAGATATATTGGACATAAAACCACTTGAAAAATATCTTGGGGTCAAAGTAATTCCAGTTTCCGTAAGAAATAACGAGCATTTAGATAGCCTTACCCACGAAATTTCCGCTGCATCCCAACAAATAAAAGGTCTAGAAATTCCAATTAAATATGTTTTTACAGATGTAGAAAATTTTGTAGCGACTAGGATTCAGAAAAGCTTATCTACTACGAGTCTGTATACAGCCAAGGTTATTGCTCATCATTATAAATGGCTAAACCACTTAGACGAAGACCAAAAAAACAAAATAAAAACGATCACCGAGCAGTCGGCTTTTAATGATCTGAATCTACAAGTCCGAGAGACTATGGATCGTTATAACCACTTTGCACCAGTTGTCAGAGAAACAATTAAAGTTGCCAAAAGAGAAAAAAAGTCTCTTACTGATAAAATAGACGATATCATTACCCACAGATTTTGGGGTCCAATCATATTTTTTGCCATCATGTTTCTTATGTTTCAATCCATATTTTCATGGTCTTCTGTACCTATGGATCTTATAGAAACAGGATTTGCTGAGATAGGTAATCTACTGACAAATAGCCTGCCAGCAGGATGGTGGACAGATTTATTGGTCA